AAAATGTACCTGCTATGATAGACCAGTCAGTGAGAAGAGTGAGAACCAGAGGCAGGTGGCCACTAGAGCTGCTTATTCTGGCCCTGCCAATGAAAATGTCATTTCTCAAAATGTAACCTCCCCTTGCGGGCTTTTCAAATCATGCAGCTCCCTGCTCACAGTCTCCCACCTGGTCCCCTACCCTAGAGGTGGCTCTGTCCTGTCTTTTCCCCCCAGTAAGACAGACACAGAGCAACAAGTCTAAACACAGAATCATTTAGTAAGGGACTGAAGTGAAACAGCTATCTAATGAGTAAAATCACTCAGGAGGGAAAGTGAGTTTGCAGAGATACAGAGAACCATAACCATCTTCCACGCTAGTTGTGTTTTCAGATGTAAAGAACACTGCTAGCAACGACATCAGAAAAGGGTTTTTTTGTTTGTCTGTTTATCTGGATACCACAAAAGCAATTCTCTAAATTGAAATGCGAGGATTAGACAGAAATTAGGAAACCTATTTCTGTATGAAGAAGACATTTTAGCCTTCTGGTACTTCATTTACTACTTTGTTTTGGACTCAAGTTCTCAAACCTTTTCACAAGACTAACAACATGTATTTCAGAGTAACTATATACATGACCATTCATCAAAATATTCATCTACCCACAGCCTCTACTGCTGGAGTGGAGATGGTTACTGGACTGCAGCATAACCTTTCACTGCATTTTAACTTTAAAATAGCAGTGGAAATACAATTTTGGAGCACTTTCTATACTTAGTTTTTACTAGCATAAGGAAAATTATCTATAAAAAAGCAGAGCTAAGCAGAACCAGAAAACAGGGGGAGTCAGCCTGCAGAGAGGAAGCTATTTCTCAAGGAGAACAAACATGCCTATTAAAGAAATTCAGAATCAAGACGACAGAAAAGGGAACCAAAAGTAGGAACTGGGAAAATGAACAAAAAGAAGGAACTGGGGAAATGAAGCCATCCCCTGTTCAGAAGAATAACATCCTCTGCAAGTGTTAGAATCCTTGGAAATTGGTGGTAGGCACACAACAGACAAAATCCCCACAGTACCATGCTACTAGAAGATATATTGCAAAATATTAGATGGTTAGAGACAAATAACCCCAAAATACATCTGTGAGTATTAGAGTCAAATAACCCCAAAATACATCTGTGAGGTTAGAGACAAATAACCCCAAAATACATCTGAGAAATAAAGTCTCTCTAAACAGTAAGTTAACTATTTCCTGTAAGAGCAAATAAACATTTTCTTCTTCTGTCCAATGCTTTTTTATGCGCACAAGATGAGTTCAAAACACACTATGGCCACGGGATGCAAACATTTCCTTAATGATCTCACAATTTGTAAGCAAAGCAAACAACCAAACATCAGCACCTTCCCCTGTTGGGATTCAGCATTTGCTTTACAGCTCTGCAGATTAGCAAGAGCCTGGTCCCTTAAGGTTCACAGAGTTGAGATCAGTTTAACAGGTTACAGTGTTGTTGCAAGTAGACAATGCTACACTGGAGACCCTTTCATTGCATCATAAAATGCAAGGAAATTCTTAGGTGCATTGCTGCTAAAAACAAACCCTATCCAAAGAAGTTCCTCAGATAACATTTGAATATAACAAGAACAGTTTTCACTTGTTCCACATCAGGTTTTTCAATAGACTTTCTGACAATAAGGTATAAAGGTAATTTTAAAGAAATAAGTATTTTCTCCACTTAGCATTCACATTGTAAGAGTACAGAGAAATTTAGCATAGCACATAACATTTGAAGCTTTCTACAGTATTTCAGACTTATTTTAATTGACAGAACAAGCCATTCATGAAGTGGGTTGGCCTGTACCATTCATCTACAGAATAGCACCACTTTTTCAGTTTTTCTCTTGCTTTTTTTTTTATTCTTTATTCTCTTTTCTTTAAGTTTACTTATCTTCTGAGTAAACAGCATGTGTGAAAGTACATACACAACCTTTATGCATGTGGGCTAGACAAACTGTAAAATGAAAATGTGCATCTACCATTCTGTTGTAACCTACAACCTGACCTAAAATATTGATATTTACAATATATTATGGAAATATTCACGGGTCTTATACATTGGTATATAGATTGGTATAGACAGATTGGTATTCAAATGAGGTAGCATCCTTGTATTACACAATAGAAAAAGAGTGTTTTAAACTACTATCTGCATTAAATGGGAGTGTTTTAAGTTTCCTGCTTAGAAATTATTTTAAACTGCCCTAACCACTGGCCATCACTGAATATAGCAACCTATTCCCTGAAGAAGCACAAGATTCTCAGGAGCAAAAAAGGCAAGAGCAGAATACCCCTATTCTAACATTAGTCACATCTCCATCAAGCTTTTGCCATTTTAACTATATGCCATAAATGCAATAACTGCCTTCCACATGCTCACCACCACAGGAACGAGCTGCTCATGTCAGTGCCAATCCAATTAATTTTTCTAGTGGAATACTAAGGATGCTTCTGCAACTATTGCAGAGTCTTTACAAGTGAAATAAGTACATCTTGATACATATTTATAATTTCAAATTACAAATACGAAGTTGAATCACAGAATCATACTTTGTGTTGAAAGGGACTTTTAAAGCTGGATGGAAGTACCCTCCTCCTATCTTTTTATCTCAAAAAGTTTCACCTTCACAAAAACAAACTTCAGGAGAAAGAAACATAAGCAATACAAAATGCAATGGGACAAAATTATATTGGCCACATATGAATAAACACGCATGCTTGAAAACAACTGGGAAGACTGAATCCAGTTAATGTGGATGCAAAAAGAAAACACAGCAATTTTTACCTTCTAAAATATTTAGTAATCAAGGTTAACTGCTCATAGAAGTGGGAGGCCTTTCCTATCACTCTATTCCTACCAGCCTATTATACTGACAGTGACGAAAAGAAAAATCTGAGTAACTGCCAAAAGGTGACAAAACACTACACAAAACGCATCTCAGACTCCCGCAATCAGGGGGGCAGAAGAGATGCCACATGAAGACAACCATTCTCCTTTAGTCCACAGCATTTACTTTGAGCAGGATGGGAGACTTTGGTCCAAATAAATCCTGCCTCATTTCTCTTCCACTGAGGAAAATTAAAATGAGGATCCCCTGGGTTATGCTGCCCTTAAACTCTGCAATGGTGTACATGCCACAGAGGTGTTTTGACATGGCCGGTGAAGCAACGCAGAGCTTTCACAGGCAAAATCTCATGATGAGGGATACAAAGGACAATATGCAAAGATATTTAGGCACCTAGCTCCTACTGAAGGCAATGCTTCAGAAGTGTCTAAATAACTTTACAGATAATCTGGTTGTATTTAATGTTTCTCCTTTACTGAATTTGGAAAGACAGCAAACACGAATGCACATTTATAATTTGTTCCTTCATAGAAGTAAGAGTGATGGATAAATTATTCTTTTTTTATGAGAGACAATTTCATTTTTGGCTATTTACACAGACTGTATCTAATGCAAGATAAAAAACATTAGAAAGATACTAAATCAACTGGAGTATCTCAGAATTTAAACTGCTTGTTTAGGGAAGTACAAGACTATTCCATGTTAGTAACCACTGCGATAAAGACAAAGACATGCCCTTCTGCTGAATGCCTCATCATGCTTTATACTGGTAATTCACCGCATGCCCCAATTTGCACTGCAGAAAGAGAGGCTGAGTATGAAACCCAGCGATGCTTGACTCCATTTACTGTAGAAGCAGTTATTGCCAATTTTCAACACTACAATCAACAATTCTTAAAAAATCCCCTGTGAATTACATTTCTATGAGATGGGCATCGAGCAGATAAATACAGCTCACTAACTATTACAGTGTTTTCCCTGATGCTTTTATAGGCTGTTTGCACAAAACCAAAGCAGTCTTAAATAAGCCACCTGTACCAACAATACTAGAAATAGATACTTCAAATGTGGGTGAAAAAAGTGTGAACCATATGGGACATTGCACAGATTTGAATTCAGGACTCGCACTCCTCAAAAGAACTGAAGTCAAGCCGTGTTCCATATGCAGCATTCTGTTTTCTTAGAAGTTTAAACATTGGGTACAGCTAGTAATAGCACACTTTCTATCAGGTGAACTTGCAGTAACTCAATTTTCAGGAACTGGATACAGCAGGCTCAGAGACCATTGTTAACTATGAATCCTTAAAGAAAGATGCTCTGCAGAGTATGCCCAATGTGGGCAAATATGACTTTAGAGCTAAAAAAAAATTGAAAATAACAGAATACCACTTGCAGTCTTTCTTTAAAGCAACTGTGCAAAGGCAGAAAATAAATTAATGACTAAATACAAATATTAAGAATTCAAATGTTTTAAAATGTCTATTCATGGCCAAACACGATTATTCAGTTTTCTTAATAAACTCTAAAAACATGTTTTGAAAGGACTGTAGGATTATCTTGGCTTTAGAATTCAACAGACATAAGGTACCCCCAAAACAGCCAAAGTGCATGTATTGCCATTATCCTGTTTTATAAAGCAGACATATCTTATGAAGTGCAGGTGGCATAACAGTAACTTGCCAAATCCATTGTATCAACAAAGAATTATGTACATACCTCCAGCGAAGTATGAGACGGAGACAGAATGCGTGTGCAAACTGAATCACTTTTACTGAGCATCTTGCCATATTTATACAAAATCACACGAGCTATTTTTAGACAAGGTATTTTTAGATCTTAACTATTCAGCTATTATTGTGTGCTTTTGCACTAGCTAAGCTTTGATGAGTTCCCACACTATAATTTACATTATCTTTGTTTATCACCTAGTGCCCACCCATACAGGATATGCTGCATACCAATGTTGGGTATTCACATCTGTGATGTTTTACAGCTGTTCTGGTTACGTCCCTCATGTCTTCGACTGCCTGAGGTTATTGGCAGGTCACCTGTATTCCCACACATACCAATACAGGACAGTGTAATGCAAGATTGAGGTATAAATATAAACAAACTGACCTGGTGTTGTGGAGCTCATTGCTCTTGATGGAATGGTAACTTGTTGACACTGTAAACCGTGGCAGGTTCTTCAGACTTTGAGGTTCTTCCAGAAGTGGGGTGGATCTGAATAAAATAAAGAAGAAAAAACAACTTTGGGTACATGTTAACAACATTATAAGATTATAATTAACATCAAACACAAGAACATACGAAATCTCTTACCCTAGAGATTCCTTTACACACATTTTTGCTATAAACTGAAAAGCCGACGACCACTGAAAACAAGACTAAATTTTAAAAATCCTCTAGTCTCAGGGTAGTTCTGATTCAGATACAAATTTGCATTAAAACCCATTTACAGTCACATAACAATACCAGAGTAAAGAAGTAAATGATCCTTTCTCTTTCCACTAGGAATAAGGAATTATATGAACTACTTTGAAAGACTTAAGGAAGAAATAGGTGGAGTATATCGTTATGGCTAAACAGTGCCCAATTCCTAGTTTTACTCCTAATGTAGACATTTGCAGTCTGAACTGAAATATGAATGTGCAGAAGCAGATCTGCAATCAACAGCCTTTCTGGAATAGCTACTACTTCCTTAACCTCCAGTGCTCACACAGTTCATGAATAGAACCTGTTGTAATAATTAGCACAGTTGAATGGATCTCCCATGACTATCTAATGGCATCTCTGACACCACCAAGACAGTCACTAATAGCGTGGGCTGCTCAAGAGTAAGGCAAGGAAGGTTCTGCAATTTGGCTGAATCCTTTCACAGTCCTGCGACATTCTCAGTTCAATGCAGAAGCAGAGGCAAAAATGTTGCTCTGATACTCCCATCTGCTGAAAGATTAAAGCTGCAGACAAAAGGCTTTCAGAGAACTAAAATCTATTTTCATTCAAGCATGATAAAAACAGCACCATGAGAGGAGAAGGTTGTAATGAATTACGACGACTGTGACTATCTTATTCAGCCACTGCTCCAGAAGCATCTAAGTAGTCAGATATTCTTAGTGTTGAATATTTTAGCAGCTTTTGACACTTTTTTTAAACCACCAACTGCACATTTAGTTTTAAGTGAGCTCAGCCAAATTTCAGATAGTAAATTACATTTTAACCAAGAATTATCATTTAAGTTTAGCACCATTATCATTCAAGAAAGGGAAATCACACATTTAAATAAGCAGCTTCTGCTTTTATGGCCACTAAAGTAGCCTGCTCAAACAGGCCTGATATTTGGACACATCCAGTACTTCCACAGGCAGTATCTATAAAATTAAAATTCATGTTATTACAATGAAAATCCTAATTAACTTTCCCTTGTTTATCTCATGCATCAAATTTCATCAAATATCAGATGGAATTGCTGTTAAAAGGAAGTCTCTATCATTAACCTAATCTAAAACCTCTGTTCAGTGTCATCTTTATCATGACTGAGGCAGGCGAGTACCTTCCCCGTATAGCTCCAAAATTTGTCAATATAACTACAGACAAGGCACAATTCAGGCTAGATGAGTTTTAAGATTTTATTTGATTTTAGACAGCTCATTATTATCTTAGCAGCTACACAGACCATGCATAACATTTTCCAGTGAATCCACTATCTATCCATTCACTTAGTACCCAGCCTCAGATGTGACTATGCAGTATCTCATAGAAACTAAAGAAATTTATATTAATGCTTAATTATGGACATTACAACACCAAATTTTTGTAGAATTTTAAACTAAACATAATATAAAATTCTGGACATTAGAATTTGACAATATTCAAAGGAAAACAATTATTATCACCACAGCTAAAACTATAATTTTGCCTAATTTCATTTCATGTAGATCCCCCATCTAAATAGATGTATGAAGCTAGTATGTCCAGATGCAGTCAGCTCAGACTGTGCACAAATGGCTAAGCTCTCACCTCACAAAAGCATCTTCATTTTTTCCCCAATAAAGATAATTGCAAGAAACTGGGATAGTTGAGGTGGGGAGAGAAGGAAGTGAAGGAGAGGGAGAGAGATCAGTGACTATGCATGGCACACTCCTGTCAGTGCATATACTGACATTCCATACTCCACCAAAACTATGGTCCCAGACATTCTAAACTACTGGGTTATCGATATCAGCTTTGCTGAAACTCAGCAGAAAGAAGTTACTTCTTAGCTCTTCCATGGTTTTCTGCAGCAAGGAACACTTAATCTTGGAGAAGGATCAGGTTAGGCAAGACTTAAGAAGCTAAACATACACAAAACCATGTGACCTGATGGGATGGATGCTGCCATGAGCACTGATAGAGCTGGACAGTATCACTGCAAGGACACTCCCAGGTTACTTTTGAAAGGTTATGACCATCAAGGAAGGTTCACAAAAGCTGTAAAAAGGCAAGTGTTACTCCTGTCTTCAGGAACAATAAAGAGAATAGAGATCCACAAGCCACTCAGCCTCACCTCAGTTTCTAAGAAGGTGATGGAACAAATAATTCTGGAAACAATTTCCAAGCATGTGAAAGATAGGAAGGTGATAGGATCCAGACAGCATATATTTACTAAGGAAAATCATGCCTGGACAACCCAAGAGCCTTTTACAATGAAATGACTAGCAACACAGACGAAAGGAAAGGAGAGAAGGGAATGTTGTTTACCCTGTCTTTAGGAAGGCTTTCAGCTCTGTCTCCCATAACATCCTCACAGACAAATTGTGAAATACAGATAAGTGGACAGTAGGGTAGCTGAAAAGGCTGAAAAGTGTCTCAGCTGCCAGGCTCAAAGGGTTGTGATCTGCAGTCCAAAGGCCTGCTGGAGGCCAGTCACTTAGAGTACCCAGGGTGCCAAGACCACTTTTCATTGAGGACGTGGCTGATGGTAGAGAGCATACCCTCTGCAATTCTACAGATGATTCAAATTTGGGAGGAGTAGTTGACAGAGCAGATGGTTGTGCTTCCATTCAGAGGGACTTCAATGAGATAATGGGTCTATTGAATGTATGTGGCAAGGTTTTGGGAGGTGAAGGGCAGACAGCTGCAGAGGTGGCTTCTGTGGGAAGCCCTTCTCTGTAAAGGGCTGCCATATGTCAGTCACGGCCAGTCTAGTCAGTCCTGCAACAGCCCCACCACAGGATAAAGCTTATTAGCCCATAACCAAGCTTGTGGAGCCTCTGTGAAAACATATTTAAGGGCAGAAGACAGTGGGGGGAGTGGGAGGGAAGGGAGGAGGAAGGGAACAAAAAGCGAGAAAGAACACCAAGGTCAAGGGAAAAGGAGGTGCTCCATAACAGAGCCACTAGGTAAACAGAAGTGCAGAGGCCAGAGCCAGACTCCCTCAGTGACGCCCAGTGACAGAAAAAGACGCAATGTGCACAAACTGAAGCATGCAAAATTCCATTTAAACATTAGAAGGCACTTTTTCCCTGCTGTTGAGTCCAAACATTTCAGGAACATGCTGCCCAGCTACCTTGTGGAGTCTCCATCCTTGGAGGCTGTCCATCCTGGGCAACCTGCCGTAGTTGACCCAGCCTTAACTGGGGCATGGGCAGGTATCTCCAGAGCTCCATTCCAACCTCAGCTACTCTGTGATTGCTCAGTATGGAAGTTAAGGATTTTTCCCTTTTAAGATCACCATAGACAGAATCAGCACTGAATATTCATAGATGTTAAACCTACTGAGAATAACTCCTGTATAAGAAAGCATTCTGCTGGGGTCCCCACAAAAAGATTTCTGTTAAGGAATTCTGTAAATTCAGCTGCACTGGTAGTCTTATATTTTATGAAGTGGGGGTTGGCAGCCTGCCTGATACTCTATTTCCATGTATTTCTCGTAAGTGCAAAGCTTTCACTAAGCTGAATGTTGTTGTTCAGGTTTAGTTTTAACAATTCCTTGCAAATATGATACAAGGCTCATATTTTCAAAGCTCACATACAGAACCATGAAAAATTCCACATCATCATATACATAATTATACTCACAACACACTCTCATCACATTCAAATACATTTCTGATATGCTGACATGCTTCATTTCATTCCTTTTACTGAAGCAATGTCATAGTGTAAATCAGACACTATGAACTGCAGTGCCACATTTTTAATGTTAGCAATTTTTTAATGTTACCAAAGGAAAAAAGCATAGCACTGGCCACAGTACATTATAATTTCATGTGGGGTGCTACGGTCCTTGGGAGATGCATTTGCACTTTACCTCCACCCACAAAAATCATCACACAGTATCGGAGCAGTCAAGTGAGAAAAGAAGGCATGTAAGAGTCTTCCAGTAACTAAAAGGGGCCTACAAGAAAGCTGGAGAGGGACTTTTTACCACGGCATGGAGCGATAGGACAAGGGAAATGGTTTTAAACTGGCGGAGGGTAGATTTATATTATATATTATGAAGAAATTCTTCGCTATGAGGGTGGTGAGACACTGGCACAGGCTGCCCAGAGAAGCTGTGGATGCCCCATCCTTGGCAGTGCTTCAAGGACAGGTTGGATGGGGCTTGGAGCAACCCAGTCTAGTGGAAGGTGTCCCTGCCCATGGCAGGGGGTTGGAACTAGGTGAGACTTAAGGTCTCTTCCAACCCAAACCATTCTCTGATTCATTCTATGATTCTAAGTCTTGAAGATACTAAGGTACAGCAAGCGGCTCCAGGATTTAGTACAGACTACTTGCACTTCCCCAAAGCATTCCATTTTAGCTGAATGGTAATTCATCCTTTACTTGTTAACAACTTGGGCATATCCAGCTATAGCAAAATATACCGCAAATTAACTTCTACCTTCAGATTTGTCACTGAATGTGATGCCACATATCAGTGACTTACATTTGCTCATCCAGGAACAATGAACCTTCTCCTTTTTCTTCAAAGGAAATGTAATGGTTTATGTGCTCCAAGGCTTGATGCATCTTAGAAACTGCTACAGAAGAACAGTGCAAGATGGAATGTAGGTCTTCATGCCCACTGGCCACCATAAACCTTATGTTTTCTATAGCTACAACATTTTTAAACACAAGTAATATTTCAAGTTAATACCATTCCTTTAAACTGTCATCTCCCACTGTGCTGTCCCAAAACTCACAAGATATTCCATAACTACCTTTTTTTCTGTCTTGCACCTATACTCCAAAATTCTTTG